AATTCCGGAATAGGCAGGAATGACCAGGAATTCCTGCATTTCCTAGTGATTCTGGATATGCACAAATGCCGGCATTCCGCTTTGATATTGAATAGATCTTTTAAGATGATCAATTCGTTATTCAGTATATCCTTCGAATTCTGGAATTACCCGGAATGACCAGGAATTGGATGTTGAGAGTTAGATTTGAAAGGAACTACGAATCAGAAATTCCTGGTTGTGGTATGTATTTGAGGGAAAGGGTCGTTTTAGGTTTTCCGGAATTGAAGGTAAGGGATTCCGGGCCAGAAGGCGATGCAGGAATGTATAACTTTTGGGAATAGGAAGTATTCTCCCTATTTCACCGTATTCCATGTGCATTGAATATCATTTTCACCTATTCTAATACTAGTGTCTGATTTTTTACCAAAAACTACTAGTCTCAATGTAAGTTTTTTCTATATTTAAGAATTTACTCCAACTATTGAGTTTAATAACAAACTCATTACTCATCATCTCAGCTGCTAATTAACCCAGACAGTAACTTCGATCTGTATATAGACAATAATACTATTTTCTTTCGCGCAATCACCCACGCCTCATCGATACTAACATTCGATCCTGATACCCACCCCACACACAGGCGCATGCATCTCACACCCTGACAACGAACTCAGATTCTTTCTAGCTACTGCTGAGAATTCACCAACTATCCAATCGAGTTTGAGTCAGAACTATGTGCATCATGTACTTTCTGATGAGCTATGAACATCCTGAAAAGAGTTCGGACCGCTAGTATATTACTTTCGAGATATTGCATTTTTCGGTATTTCTAATTAAGTAAAATACCGTGGTCTTCCTTAGTAACCAGAAAAGCTGAACTTCGAATTCAGACTTGAAACCTTACATCACAGCAGGCTTCAGTAAGAGTGGTTTACTGTGAAAGTTTGAGTTCTTTTGATTGTTCATATCCTAAGGTACAATTAAAAAGCATTTTGTTTACATCGCTCGTATACAGGGACAGATTTCCATGTTCTTATTTCAGAATGGGAGCAATGAAACAATCTGAAACTTTTATAATAAGCTACTTTCATGAAGATCTGCTTTTCTGCCAAGTTTCAAGTCTGAATTCGAAACTCAGTTTTTTCTGATGTTCCTAAGGGTGATCACGGCATCATGCTTTAAAATGTCGTCAAAATGCGGTATCTCGACAATACAATGTTAGCGACCCGAACTCTTTTTAGAGTATTCATAGCTCATTAGGACCTACATGATTCATACGTTTTCCACTTAACAGCAATTCGACAGTTGGTGGCTTTCCCTCATAAGACGGTTACCAATTGTAATTGTTACCAGCTCACGAGAGGTAGCTTTCAACTGCCAAATCCCTTTTGGGTTCAGAGCTTGCGCATCAGATAGACTCTAGTGAGCTATGAAAAACGTCAAAAGATCAAATCCTCCCTGTTCTTCTATTTGGAGCAATGAATATTTTACTGGCATTTTAGCATCGGACATAGTATCTACGAGCAAATAAAATGGCAATATACCGATCTAAGATTTTGCTCATCGATAGCTTTGCTCATGAGTAGAATACTCTGAAAATTTCAGCCTAGAAGAACATTTCTTTTCTGAAATATTCCACTGCTAAAAATGCTTTATTTATGATAACAAATGCTAGGGATTTTTGCTTTCTGGATGCTGTAATGTTTCAGGAAGAACATGTTCTTTTGGGCTAAAATTTGTGTGATTTTGACCCATGTAAAAAGTTATCGATGGGCAAATTCTCAGATCGAAATATCGCCAATCAAATTGTTTGTAGATACCGTATCCCAGGCTAAAATTCAAGCAAAATGCCAATAACTCCGAACGCAAGGCCTGAAGGAATTTGATCTTTTAAGGTTTTTCATGGTTTTCTAGAGGCTATCTGATGCAAAAAGTCCGTACACAACTCGAATAAGACAGTTGAAAACGTTACATCTTCAGGCAATGATCAACTGAATTTCTCATAAATTAACTGTTTCGAATTAGTTATTAATAAGACAATGAATTACAATTCAGCATTTATGCATCTGTGGAAAAATACAGCCAGTGGTAGTGAAATTGATGAAAATGAGAATAACAGAATTTTCCATAACCCCTAGGTTTGCAAAATGCACATACTTGCCTTTGAAGTCATAGGCATGAAACCTTTAGTATAATCAGGATTGCAAAGGTCTTGATACACCCATAATTTTGTGAAACACGATCTGAAAGAAGTGTTGAAGTGTTTAGGGGTAGAAATTTGCACCCATCCACCCCTCTTCCCCCACAGACCGTGACAGACACTCATGTGACCCATCACAGACCGCGGCACAAAGGCTTTGGATCCATCACAGACCGTGACAGACAGGCTTTGGACCTGTCACAGGCCGTGACATACAAGTCTCTGGACCCATCACAGACAGGGCTCTGAACTTGTCACAGACCGTGACAGACAGGCTTTGAACCCGTCACAGACCGTGACATACAAGTCTCTGGACCCATCACAGACCGTGACAGACAAAACTCTGTGCCCATCACAGACCGTGACAGGCAGACTTTGGACCCGTCACAGACCGTGACATACAAGTCTCTGGACCCATCACAGACCGTGACAGACAAGGCTCTGGGCCCATCATAGACCGTGATAGATAGGGCTCTGCACCCGTCACAGACCGTGACCGACAGGGCTCGGAGGTCATTATAGACAGTGACAGAAGACTTCAAGAAAATATCCGAGATGATGCATAAGAAATATATGATTGGAGCATATATGGAGTATTATCCTCTTGAAAGTGTATAATGCAAGGCAAACTATTATTATGAAGGAATGTGCCCCAATATGCATAGAAAGCAACAGCTTTTCGAACATCGGGTATAGTAGCT